TTCTTTTGAAATTTTAGTACATATTGTATTCGATAAGAGAATTTCAAGATATTTCTCACAGTACTTTATATAGTTTTGTAGATCTTCAATTGGAAGTTCGATTGTACTCCTAAAAGTTCAAAATTCATTTTTATGATCCAGCCTGAAAAACGCCATATAAAACTTGTCGAAAATAATATGTATTATACGATTTGATCTCCTCTTTCCAATGATGAAGATCCGAATTCTCTATGTACTTACGTTCTTGACTTATTCAAAAACTACTGAAATGGACAATAATTGTCACACTGTCTTCTGATACTTGAAAATTACCGTTTGTTTTTATTTTCCAGAAACCTTCATTGACTATTCAAATCACTTTTGAAATTTGAGTTAGAAGAAAAAAATATATTGATCTTTGTTTTTTTTTTTTTTGACTAGTACTTTAATACATTTATATAAACATTTCTTAAAGATACACTAAAATCCTATTTTGATATTTTTACAAATCAAGAAATACTCTATGTAATTATTTAATATGAAGATAAGAGTAAACAATAAAGAAAAAAAAATATTGTTTTTTTCTTTTATATATAATAGTCAACAACAACAACAATACATGGAATATATGAACAGAGAAAAAAAAATATATATGTATATAAAAAGATCTCTCGATATTCAAATTTTTTATGTTGTTGATGATGCTATAATTGTATCTTGATGTTGTTGACCAATTGAAAGAGTATCAAAATTAAGATTTGGTATTTCAATATCATTAAGTGTTCCTTCTTGAATATTTTTATTATTTATATTCGTATCATCATCTTCATCAGGTAAAAATTTTATTTGTTCACGTGGTGCTAATGTATCCGAATCCGGTGGATATGGCCATTGATTAGCACGACGTGTTGAAGGATTTTTAACACATGCAAGACCTTGAAATACACGAACATTATCAAGAAATTCATTTGGAATTTTTGGTGTTGGTCTTAAAAAAAACAAAAATTAAAATTAAAATTAACACATATTTCTTTTTTTGTCTGTTTTATACCTAGCTATAGATTTAGTCCATTGTTTAGGCATATCTGACAAAAGTTTAAGTGGTGTTATTGGTATAGGTACACTTGATAAAGATGATATTGAATTATTAAGATCTCCTACTTTTGGATCCATTGGCTAAACACACACACACACATATACAAAGAAATATTAATTAAATAAAATAATTATTTACTGGATTTGCAAATTGTGTTTCAACTGATTGATAATTAAAACAACATTGAGGATCATTTTTATATAATAAATGTATTGTACCTAAAATAAAATATTTTCTTAAATTTTGAAAAAATTTTTTGTTTTTATTCTTTAAAAATACCAGTTGAATGTCCAAATGCTGTACAATGCATACTTGTTGATACACTAAATGTTGTTATTATTCCAGCTGGATTTGTTGTAAGATTAATTATTGGTGAATATGTTTGAGTTAAACCACCTGTCAAATCAACTTGTGTATGATGTCCTTGCTATAAAGAGAAAAAACAAAAACCTTTTTCTTTTTGATTCAGGACAAACTTGAATCTCGTTTGTCCGTAGAAAGGTCGAAAGAAGGATATGGGCCCAAGTTGTGATTTGGCTGACAGATCGCAACTTGAGCTTACATTCTTCTAGAATCTTCCTAGTCTATACACACGCACTGCTTGTGAGCAAAATTTTAGTATCTGAAGAGATTTCCTCGTGAGACAAAATTTTTCTCCTATCAAAAAACTAGTCGTTAATCAAAGTGTAAAAGCTCATTCTCATTTTTTTTCACCTAATATCCACATTGTTATCCATTATGTCCTGACGTTTGATTATACGTGGGAAAAAAAATCTATAGTCTGCTAGAAATTTTTCACATAATGTATTTTGTATCAACTCTTTATACTCCACAGCGGTTCCAGAAGAGTCATCGATAAAATAACTATACGAATAGAGTACTAGCATGCCTAGTATGACAATTATGTGATCTGATTCACCGAATGTCTACCTCTTTGTGTAGAACTATTTAATTGGTTGATTTGTTTTCCTTTGACCACATTATTGAATGAACAAAAGTAACATTTATCCTATCTTATTGGAATAATCTACCTTGCTTTGAACCGTTTGATAACTTCTAAAGATATTTAATTCAAATGAATACTATTCTAACTTCTCATGAGCTGAGGCTTATAGTACATATATTACCATTTCTCTTAATTACCCCAAAGATGCCTTATAATAGCTTCTTGGTCATCTATGTGCGTTAGTGTGTACAATTAAATGTTCTTATCGTTTTCAAATCCCATGCTTCCTTTATTTTTTGCAATCATTCTACAAAATGGCAATTCCAATTATCAATGGCGGGGTAAAGGGTTAATATAATGAAGCTGAAGAATACATATGAATTCCATATTTTAGTTCTAAAGGAGCTGCGGTGACAAGCTTTTTTTTGTCTATAAGAATAAATTGAAGAACTATTTACTTGAGATGCAACCATAACTGAAGTACTTGTCATTGTATGATAATGTAAAAAACATGGATCAATAAAAACAGGTACAGGTGCTAATTGTTGCATATTTCTTAGATCATATACAACAAGAAATCGATCAAGATTCATATGATCCATTCTACAAAAACAAAACAAATACAGAAAAGACTTTTATTTATTTATTTATTTTTATACTTTCGTGTAAAACCACATGTAACTAAATACATATTATTAATATCTAAATCTGATAAACTACCATGATGTGGAGTAAAACGTTGTATAACTTGAAGTGAATTTGGATCACGTAAATTTACAACACCATTTGTTGAACCCGTTGCAATAAAATTTCTTGTACAATATTTTAATATAATACAATCACCTTCATCAAGTGATACCTTCGAATAAAAAAAAAATATTTTTTTTTTGATGTTTTTTTGTTTTGGTTAATTACTTGTCGGAGTAAAGTTTTTTTATCAAAGTCCATTTCACATAATTGTCCACCATAACCACCGATATAAATTTTTTTTTGTTTATGAGATTGTGGCATTAACATACATTGCATATTATCAAGATAAGGAGCTCTAGTAAATAATAATAATAAAGTTAATTAAACAAAAAAGAATTTATATTACCTATGATGAAATATATTTAAACCTTGTCTTGTATATAATGAAAGTGAATCTGATGTAAGAATAAGTGGCCCTTCAGTTATTGATAATATACTACGAATATCTGATGTTGTTGATACACGAAAGCCAGTATATTTACGAAGTTCGCAACCATAAAAAGATGCTACACGACCCTTAATTATCATGAAAAACTTGTCTGAGAAAATTTCTACAGTTGAATAATATTCAAAAATCAAATCATAAATGATAAAGAAAACAATCTGAAAGCTAATGTTTAATCTATTTTAATAGTAGCGGAGCCAAGCAATGGCTGGAGGAAACTACCAAAGCTAATACCCTTCATTTGAGTTCATATTGGGTCCACAAGAATATATTAGTGAGATTAGAAAAAGTCTAAAAGAGTTCGCTCTTCATCAGCTATAAACGTCAAGTAATGGAATTTTTCCCATAGGATATGCGGGAAATTCCAGTCGAAAAGAAAGGGTTTTTTTTTTGTTGGGACACTGAATTTTCTAGTAAACTCAACTTTTTGTATCATGTCTATGATCAGCGATGATTTTTTGCAAGTTCGATAATTTTTAAAATATTCTTAGCTGAGAAATATGAAGCATCAAGTAGAATTCTGAACTATTCGGTAGTATTTAAATGCATGTTTAGTAGTTGAGAATGGGATTTCTCTAATGTCAAATCATTTTTCAACCGAGACAGTGTTCATTTTATGAGTAATAGAAAAGTCCAGAATGATCGGGTTTTCCGAACCTTCGTTTTTGAGATAACAAAATTTTACTGGATTTTTCGACAAAAAACTTTTGAGTTTGTACGTGACATGAAGGGACGAAAACTCTCGTAAAATTTTAATAAAACCAAATCATTCTAGATTTTTCTATTACACATCAAATGAATATCATCTCGGTCGAAAAAGTAATTTGACACCCGGAGAGATTTCCTAGGGTGTTTTTTTATTCGACTGTGCTATTAAAATAATATGACTATATCAATATCGTCATCTCAATGCTTACTAAATTTCCAAACACTATACCTCATTACTACCGGCCCATAGTAATTCTTGTGCAATATCAAATTCAGTTGCTGTAATTGATTGTGCACTTGTTGGATTATAAGCACTATTAAAAAATGCCATGGATTCTGAATAATCCAATGCATAAGGTGCATCATTAGTACCATCCATATCTAAAAACTTGCTTTCATCAGTATAACATCAACAAATACGAAAAAGAAAAACAACAACAACAACAACAATATATCTGTAAAAATAGTTGAAGAGAAAAAAAAACGTTTTATATATATATATTTTTTTTTTTGCTTTTAATTTATTTAATAATGTTCTTCAATTGGATTTCCTTCATCAATAAGACCATGTTCAATCATTGCTTTTTGTCGAAGTTTTTCAATATGTTCTTTTTTTTCAATATCTTCTTTTTGTAATTTAAGTATTTCTTCAATTGTTACTTCAATAAGTGGTACACGTAATGGTTGATGAAAATCTAATTCACCAATAAATAAAACATTTTCACCACGAATAACAAATAAACCACGAGGTATATCTGCATATTGACGACCAATACAAATACGTTCGAATGCTTGATGAAGTACAAGATTACCTATATAAATTAACAAATTAAAAATAAAAGATATTAAAACATTTTTTTGTTTTTTATGTAATCTTAACCCTCGTAGTGCCGGCCTTTTTTTTAAGCACTATATGTTTTCATATTCAATTTGATAGAAAAATTATTAAAATGATATTCTTTATTTAGAACAAGTAATACAACAAAAAATATGTTTAACAGAATGCTCATTACAACATTAAGTTGATATTTTCTTATCCATAAAATGTTCACAAATCCGAACACCATTTTCATTTTATTTGAGTAGAATTTTCTGATAGATTTTTCGTCGTCATAGGATAACTGACAATAGCTAATGTCTTTTGAATTTTTTGAGCGAAAGTCCAACAGATACGATACTAAAGTTAGTCCTAATTCTTTCAGGAATAATCGACATTGATATTTTTTATTTTGATTCCATTGAGAATTTCTTGCCTTCCAGATGATCAGAACGTTTATAGCAGTAATATCTATCATCCCATAAAAGATACAAAGCAGCCGTCGCTTTGTACCTCTTTTTCTCCTTTCTTATTATATATTTGTTATTTATGGAAGACATGAGCTTGTAATGATATGGAAAACAAATGTGTTTCCTTTTAGATTCAATAACGTATATCTATTCGTATAGTTGCTTCTAAAAATTAGGAAATAGCAAAATATTTCTAGTATATTTTTAAATTTTTGAGAGTGAAGTCAAAAATGATCCCGGCCGGTAACTACGATGATTAATTTTTATTTGACCTACCGAATTGATCAAGACTTCGTAAATAAGCAATAAGTGTTCGACCATCACGTAACATAACCATTAACTGTTCTATGTAAATATGTATCATATGTATAAATTCGTTTTATTTATTTCTTACTATCAACATCGCCAATTAATGCTGCCATACCGGATAAATAATAATCATTATTAACAATACTTAAATCCATTTTTTTTTGGTGATTATTATATTTATAATCTACAAAAAAAAGGAGGGATATTATTGATTATGTCTTGGTTTTTTTTTTGTTTTTGTCAAATATTTGTGTTTTATGAAAGATTTCAAAATGATATTATAATAACAATGAATTATTCTTGGTGCTAACTATTCTATTTTAGTGAATTTATTATAAAAATCATTTTAAAATATATATTTTCTATTTTATTACAATATTCGAATAAACAACATTAACAAAATATGTTTATTCTCTCTTGCAATAATCATTAATTAAAAAAAAAAAAAGAAAACTAAACTAAAAAATGACTAGATTATATTTTTGTCAAGATTATTAGTATGAAAAAATTTGTGCGCCTATATTTGAGAAAATCGGTGGGGAAGGAAGGGAGATGGATGAGATTCTATATTCTATATCGATTATTCTTGAGTATTTAATAACGACTAATATCTCGTCCATATAATTGTGTACGAATCCAATCAAATGCAAGTAATGTTTTTGTTCGTCCACTAAACATTTCCGTAAAATAAAATGATTTCCATAAATAAGCAGCACCACGACCTGATAATGGTTTTAAATTAAATAAATCAAGTATTGGTTTTGTACCACTAAAATCTAATACAGCTGAATCACCACCAACATATGCTAATGTACCCATATGTTTATAACGAAATGGTTTTAAATTATATTGTTGATAATTTTTTATAGTTAAATCTGGTAATTGATTAAGTAAATCAGCTATATAACGACCTTCTTGTGATGCAACTTGTGCTGTTGCTGGTAATGCACGAATTTTTGTATCAGCTTTTTCAAGTGCTGAATGAAGTCTTTCCATTGATAAATAACCTGATTTATCTTTATCAGCTTGTTTAAATACTTCTTCAATTTTTTTTGAAAACATTTCAAGCTAGAATAAAACAAAAAGAAAATTAAAATACAAATGTTCAGTAAGATTAGAAAAATTCTAAAGGGATTCATATCAGGCCTCAAAATAGACCGTCCGGCCCGACGATTTTATCCTTTTTTTGGACATAACAGATTTGGCTCACCCCTGAGAAGGAAGCCTCTCCACACTACCCTCTTTGGTCATCACTTTTTAAAAGAGCTGAAAAGTATGAAATAGCTGTCTATTGAGAAAAAAAAATCTTCGTAAACGAAGTTTCTTTCGGACCCGAGCCATAAAAAAGTGGCCCGATTTCGAGGTCTAGTTCGTATCTATGGACCTCTGGAACCTAGTTATGATCGTTCTACTGAATTTTCGACCTGAAATTTTACGTATTAGATAGTTCTGATGACTCTGAAGAATATCTTGAAAGTTTCAGTCGGAAAGAATGTTTCAATGATCTTCTTGTAAATCCAATATAAGCTCAGATAGTTTCTTTGTAAGACGGTGCTTGTTCTGATCTTAACTTATATTATTATTAAATTTGCTCAGGTCAAAAAATCTGACATTAAGTCTTGTACGATCATATGAAATTGTACAAAAAATCATGTTCTCAGAAATCTTACATCAATTCTTACGGTAAGATCTGACAGGACAACAAGATTTGTCAAGAATCTTACAAGATCAGATGCAGAATCTTGTCCGATTGTTTGCCCTGGGTGCATAAATTTAGATTTGAAGCAAATTTTTAAATGTTATATTTGTCATAGTGAATTAGGTCGATTTTCTATGTGATTCCATTCAGACATAAACCGTCAGTATGCCGACAATCTATTGCTAGTAGGAGCCCGTCGAATTGATCCCGGATCCGAAAATTTCTAACTATTGGTACACTATAGATTCTTATGGATACTGTGGATGAATATGCAACATTGAGAGTATCAAAATGAGACAATAAAATGAACGATTTTTGAATATCTTCAATACCTGTGGAAATTCGTTGATTCTTCGTTCAACTAATGATCGAAATTGTTGAAGATCAAGTGCACCTCGATGTTGTGTATCAGCTTCTTCAAATAATAATTGTATACGATCAACTAATTTTGGTTGTTCAATTGTAGCACAATCACCAATAGCAAATATAGAACCATCATTAATACCTTTTATACGTAAATATTGATCTGTAAGAATACCCATTCGATTACTTTGTATATTTAAACCAATTACTTCTCGAAGACGATTTGTTAATGCATGTGATTTAATACCTGTTGCCCAAACAACAACAGAACATGGGATAGATGTTTGTTCATTTGAACCTTTTGCTTGAACAATAACTTCACGTTGTTTAACAGCTTTAACAAATGTATTCATTAAAACTTCAATATTCTCACGATGAAAATGTTTTTCAGTATAATCACTTATTTGTTTATCCTAAAGAAAAAAAAACATTTATAAAATAAAGTAAAAAAAAAAATCAACAAACCATCATTGATAAAACATGATCAAGTGCTTCAATTAATGTTATTTTAACATCATTAGAAACTAAACGTGGATAATAATGTTGAAGATCTTCACGAACTAAATCTGCAAGCTAGAAAATAAAGAATATAAATTTATTGATGAAAGAGAAACACAAGACAACAACAACAATAATACAAACATTTGTTAAACAAAAATAAAGCATTTTAGTAATTATATTCAATCGTTGTTTATTATAGAAATGTTGAATCAATGAAAAAAACATGCAATATCTTTTGAAAATTTTGTGTTTTACTCAAATGTTAGTCCATGAGCGAGCCCAGCTTATTTGAAGCTCTGTTGTACATACCCACAGAAAGTCTTAATACATTATTATTTATCTCGATAAGCTTAGAAATACTGATATTAATTAATTTCCATAGTAATAACTTAATCAGTTCATGATTTTTTATATGACAAATGATTGCATCAGAATTCATCATCGTTAACATATTGAATATAAACTTTTATCTACGTAAAGAATCAAAAAACTGCATTATTTGGAATATTCACAAGTGTATTTCAACTATTCAAAGTTCGAGAAAGACTTTGGAATGTTTTAAAACAATCTAACAAGAGAATATATATTCAACTATCGGGCGCTATTCGACTTTATATTATGACTACGAGCAGGTCTTGATGAAAACAAACATATTTTGCTCTCAGTAAAAATTTCGTTAAACCACTATAATTCTTCATCCATAGATCATGAGCCCCAATCCTTTTATACTTTCCTTAGTCTCTTCGAGATCGACTCATAGCCATAATATGAAGTCGAACGACTCTCGACTATCAGAGATGTTTTCTCGTAAGTCATGTTCTTTAACCCTATGAATCCTGAATTTTTTTCTACCGAACCTAATTTGATGAAACCACCAGGAATGGTAGGGCTAGGTGTGCTGATGAAGTTTCACTATAGGATAGATTTTGGTAATTCCGTGTTTTTATCTGAGGGAGGGTGCAAAAGTTGGGGATAATTTGAGAGTAGGCTTCGAAGATGGCTTTGCCATTTGGCTTAGGAACACGTTACAGACTTGGGAGTTTTAGCATTAGATAGAGGACAGTTAGTCGATTTAATTTTCTGTAGGTTTGTTCACAAAAAACAGAACACGGAGATAAAAAATATCCGCTACAAAAAATGATCACCTCAACAAGTGGTATCTATGGTGAAATTTTCAGACTTCTTGCATTTGTAATAGAGGAGCTAGATAAGGTCCAATTTGGCTGAAAAGTCTATTTTGTCCTTCCCATTTGAACCTTTTCACAAGGTTTTCAATTTTTTTGAACCTACAGCTATGCTTACAGATACGAGTCCTATAAACCCTGAAAGTTTCATTCAATTCCGATGAATTCGTTGTAAACTTTCGTACACTCGATAGAAACACCCTCCCCCTCTCTCTCATGGGATCAAAACCTCACAAGGTGCATTTTTCAATGTCATCCATACACTCTATTATCTAATCAATCTTGTATGGACTTCTACTAGCTTATAACATTTATTGAAAATATTTCTCCAAGATTCTTGAAAACTCGAAGATTTCAAAATTTTCAAGATAGGAAATATATATCCCACCGGGTCTCAAAGGGTTAAAGCTGTTCAGCACTTTTTTTTCCATTGCTAAGGAACTATGAGAAAAGAGTCTGATGCCTATTATCTTCCGTTACTATGAAAACTTACTCATGACCCTCTTTGCTATAAAGAAAGGCTGTGCAGCTTCGACAAATAATTAATCTTTACGGATATTTTTTTATTATTCTGCAGCTGTTATTCCCTTGAATAAAAGGTCATCAAGTATTTAAATAATATCTTTTAATAGATAATTATGACCTTGTAGTCTTAATTTAATAATTCAAAAAAACAAATGTTAACACATGTTTTTTTCTCCCTCCTTTGACTTACTTCAGCAGCAAATTCAACTCCTGTTGGTCCACCACCAACAACAATAAAATGTAAAAGACGTTTTCGTTCTTCTTCTGTTTGTGTTGGTGTCATAGCTGATTCAAATGCATCACTAATAGCTGAACGTATACGTCGAGCATCGAGAATTTCTTTAAGAAAATGTGCATGTTCTTCAACACCTGGAATGTTAAATGTATTAGTTGATGAACCAATAGCAACAATAAGAATATCATATTTCATATCAAATTGTGGTCGTGTTCGAGCTAAATTTTAATTTATTCATACAGAAAAAAAAAAAGAATTTCTTCGATTTTTATTCCTACCAGAATCTTTAATTATTCTTGATGATGCACCACTTTCACGTTTTGATTGTACAACTATTGTTTTAATATCATCACCACGAGATACTGTACCTTTTTCATCAGTATTACATGTTATAATCTTTAATTTTGGATCAATATCAACACAATGTGCTTCGACATATTTTATTCTTGGTCCAATAAGTGTACGAATAGCTTCAATTACAGTTCGAGTTTCAACTGTACCAACACTAACTGATGGTAATAAAGGTGTCATTAAAAAATAATTACGTGGTGATACACAAACAACTTCATATTTTTGACTATCAATATGTTTTAAAAATGGTACAGCACCCCAACCTTAATGATTAAAAAACAAAAGGAAATGTTTATTAAAAGAATAAATTTATTCGTATGTTTAACCTGTTCCAAGAACAACAATACGTGGTTTAGTACCAGTAGATTCATTCGACTCATTCAATTCTTTATGCCATTTATAATTCTTATAATTACGATAACCATAATAACTACCAAAACCAATCACACTGACAATTAAAAGATTTCTTAAACGTCGTTTTAATTTTGTACCTAAAAATTTTATTTATTAAACAAAAAAAAACAAAATTTAATATTCTTCTCGAATATATTCATAAGAAATAATTTTTTTATTCCAGCAATAAGATCTATTATATTTTCGGTTATTAGAGAAAGAACAAAAGCTGATTTTTCACATACCAAAACTTTGTTTATTCGATTGTCGATTAAACCAAGCAAGATTTCGCGTAATAATTGGTTTAAATTCTTTTAATTGTTTCAATGATAAATTTCGAAATCCGTTCATAATTTATTAATTCTTGATAAAATAAATTCGAATAAAAAGAAATAAAAATATTCCTTTAATTATCAAGATACTACAATACTAGAAACCATTATGTATGTACATTCCATATGTAGTTTTAAAAAAAAAACATCTATTTGTATTCGTTAAATAATAATCAATCATAAACAATTATTCGATTTTAACGACATCTTTTTTAATTTACAAAAAATAAAAATACAAAAATTTTTCTATTGAAGAAAAAAAAAACAAAATAATTTTTTAATATAATTCAAAAAAAAAACATAATATTTTTCATTCTTTTTAATAAATTAATCTGATTGATTGAATTTCTATTCGTTTATCTATATAAATACAAATACATCTATCCAACATATACATTTCTTCATTACATTGCTTTCGAACACTTCGTAAGAACGATGTATTCGAGTAATGATCAATCTCAAAATGAAAATGATGATGATGGTGATATTACAACGGAATTATGGCAAGAAGCATGTTGGACAGTTATATCATCATATTTTGATGAAAAAGGTCTTGTTCGACAACAACTTGATTCATTTGATGAATTTATTCAAATGTCTGTTCAACGTATTGTTGAAGATTCACGTCCAATTGAATTTCAAGCACAAGCACAATATATAACAGCATTAAAAGAAACACCAGCTAAATATACATTTAAATTTGAACAAATTTATTTATCAAAACCAATACATCGTGCTGATGAAGGTACAGTTTATTTATGGCCAAATGAAGCACGTTTAAGAAATTTAACATATGCAGCACCATTATATGTTGATGTTAAACGAACAACAATTAAAGAAAATGAACCACCAATTGAAAAAAAATTTGATAAATTACATATTGGTGATATACCAATTATGTTACGTTCAGCTTATTGTCTTTTATCAGAAATGACTGATCGTGATTTAACTGAACTTAATGAATGTCCATTAGATCCTGGTGGATATTTTATTATAAATGGTAGTGAAAAAGTTTTAATTGCACAAGAAAAAATGGCAACAAATACAGGTTTATTTATATTAAAAAATAAATAAATAAATAATTTTTTTTTGCAATATTTTTATTATTTTAGTTTATGTATTTTCAATGAAAGATTCTAAATATGCATATAAATGTGAAGTTCGTTCTGTATTAGAAAATTCTAGTCGACCAACAAGTACATTATGGGTTAATTTAATGGCTAAGGGTGCACAGGTTAGTTACGACAAAAAAAAAAA